GATATAGATACGAAACACAGAAATTCGTCAAACAGAATTTATTTGACATGCATGAAATCTCATAAACATTCCACAGATAAATGTGAAACCTGGAGAACCGTCAAAAGGATGGCTTGCTTCTCTTGTCGCCATCCGCCGGGAACTTCAAAAGCAAGAGCTATATGGGTCTCCTGGCACAACAGGAGTATAGCAGATAAGCATGCTAGCAACAAATTAGATAATGAGGAATATAAGTAGACATGAAGCACCAACTCTGAAGCTGTGAATGAGCAGAAATACAAACCGATGGACTAGCTTGAAGACGATATTCTCCTCCAACATATTTAGATTGTGGCTCCTCAGAGCGGGGCCCACTAGGTAGGTCAGAAAGAAGTGGTTCTGCGATAGATACAATCTCCTCATGATCGACCCCTGAAGCTGCAAGAACAATCCGACGAGCCGTATAATTCTCCTGAAATTCCCACATCAGCCACTAGTCAGTAGCCACACCACACAGCACATGGATAGAAATATGGATTTTTTTTTAAAAGGTTAAAGAAAAGTAACCAAGAGCACAGATTATTTATTAAAAAATAATAACTAATATTTCACATGCAGTATTCAACGGACTTTTAGGGTAAGAGATAGTTGACTTGAGCATGCAGTATTCATAATTTTTTTTTTTTAATCTTACAGCAACAAAATCCTCCAAGACGCTGCCATTCAATCTGTTCAATGCTGCTTCCGAAGCCAGAAGAGGATTTGCCAGTGAGCCAGAATAACCAGCAGAATGAATTGCCTCCAGGAGTAAGCCCTGAGGATTGTTAGATAGTTCACCAATCTCTGCCCGCACCTTCTTCAGCTGTACAAAAAAATTCTACAGAATATGAACATATGGCAAAGCTAAAGTTTTTGAAAAATTGACAAAAATAACCATGTATGGAGACCAACACTACAAAATTGTTTTGATTGCATTCAAGATCATAGAAAAAGATAAGAGACAATATTTTTTATAAACTCATAAACAATTCCAATTTCAAAGAATATGCTGAAATTAAACTTTGTTAATTATCCCAAATTTGATTGGACTTCTCTCTTTCAAATGCTCAAACAATTTATTGGAAGAGGTATAATTCATTGAGTTCAGTTCAACCTTCCATCACCCCAAATTCCTCCCGCCTACCAAAGAATGGGGAGACTTATAACGAACTTTAGAAAGGTAAATGAGTGTACCACAGTATTTTTTTCAAACAAACAATCCTAAAATGATGCCCATTAACTTTCAAAGAATACTGATGAAGAAATTTTACCTCTTCATTGACCTCCCATTCCAAGAAGGCAGGATTCCTCACTGCGTCAACAAGCAGTTCCACCATTTGAGGAACATAGGTTTTGATAGCATCAAAAGTGTATCCCATTTGCTCCCTAGAGGCACTGGCTCCTATGTGACCACCAATTGCTTCCACTTCCCTCACAATGCGTAAGTGGCTCCGGTTGGTTGTACTCTTAAAAGCCAGTCGCTCTAACAAGTGTGAAGCCCCACTCGACTCGGGTGTCTCATATATGGAACCGGAATCGACATATAATCCAATGGAGGCCGCAGGACTCTGATTAATCAAGACAAGAAGTAACAAATCAATCGACAAGATTGAACAGTAAACAGAGAAGGGGGTACATTAAAACAAAGTAAAGCTACATCATAACGACTCTTACATACCGGTGATGTTTCTGAAGCTATTTTAACACCATTCGACAGAGTTGTAATCTGAGTCTTGCTTGGCTGAACATGATCAGGTAGTGGAGGAGGAAGGTTAACACCTGGGAGTTGGGTTTCCAAAGGAGGAAGAGTACTGGAGCTTTCCCCCGTCAGCCAGCTAAAGATACCCCCTGAGGCTGGCTTTATAGCAGCTGCACTTGTTGCAAACCTGGTGGCCCCCAAATTTCCGGCATGGCCCTATTCAGACAGTGAATAGTGCAACATGGAACAGTCAATGCCACCATGTAGATAATCAAGAACAAAAATTGTTTGTATCTAGTAACTGCCCTTAATTTCTCCTGATAGATTTATATTTATTCAGAAACTAAATTTTAGGATCCGTACCAAACAAGTTAAAATACACACACCAACCAGATAAAAAGAAATCCATCTCTTTAAATTTACAAAAATAAATCCATTGTGACCAAGAAGCATATATGAGACTTATTCGAACAGAGCACCACAATAGAAACCAAGAACAAATTCACCCAGAACTGCATTCAACAATGCCTGAATTGGGTCGAGTTAGATTTCTCATTTTAAATAGAAAAAGCAAAAGAAAAGTACACATAATACATGAGGACCATAAACTTATATCCATTATATTACTCCAATTCCCCAGCAACCAACAAAAATGTCAATACAACATTAAAAAAATCATCACTTGAAGCTACAAACAAAATCTAATTACACTAAAATGCTATAAATTCGCATTAACCAATCATTTTATAAAATCAAATCAAATATCTGTCATAAAAATATTAGAAAATACATAAAATAAAAACCCAGTAAATTTAAGCGTGGATCTTAAGAACCGCAGATTCATCATCCAACATGATTTACACTTCCTCTCAGCAACTATAAAGGAAGTTAGGGTTTCGGAAGACCCAGTTTGGTACTGACCTTGAGAGCCCTGAGTCGTGAGGCTGCTTTGTACATGGTGATGTAGCTCGGATTGATTGAAGCCCTAGAAACCTATTAGGGATTTGCAGGTCTCTCTGTTCTCTTTAAAAGGTTTGAGAACAACACAAGAGTGGAGGCTGTTGAAATAAAAGAGAGTTCAATCCCTTTTTTTTATTTGTTATCTTGGACCAATAGAGAAATATTCTCAGAAAGTATTGGGCTTCACTAACAAGTAGAGGCCCAACACAAAACTCAAAAGGCCAGGCCCAACAAGAGTATGTTGATCAACCGTTCTTCTACTCTCTTTTTTTTATTTTTTTATATCCAATTAATTTTGATCAACCCTTCTTCTTATGTGTCCTTATTTTTTTTCAGATTAAAAGGAAAACAAAAACAAGTACTTTCTTAGAAGATGTGGTTGAGATAGGGAATACTTGTAAGTGATATATGTGCATCACTTTAAAGTATGCACGTTATTTTCGTCGTTATGTACACGTTTTTTTTGTTATTTTCGATATGAGAGTAACTTTATTTTTAAATTTTTAAATATTTTTTTTATAGGGTGGTTCTCATTTTGGATAATTTGATTGATTTATTTATTTTAAACATTAGTGGTTTTAACATCCAACTTTGAAATAGTCAAATGATTTGGCACTCGGCAGCCAAGGTAGGAGGAAACAAGGAGTCCAATTTTCATGTTACCAACTATCCTGTGCCACCCTGTTTCCCTGCTAGCCTTTTGACACGTGGCAAACCACTTAACAACACTTTTAACCATGTTACGCTGTTAAGTCATCCTAACTAGCCAATCCTCGTCCTCCCCTACTCCGACTTAAGCCTCGCAGATCCAGCCCCACCCCACCACCACGAGACCTCCCCTCCCTCTCTCTCCCCTACTTACCGCCAGCCAACCGAGACAGAGACAGAGAACCACCCCACCCCTCCTTCACATAAACTTTAATAAATTCCAAATTTTAGAATTAAAAATCCATTCTTTGATGTTTCGTGGGTGCAATTCGGTTGAACTGGATTCATCGACCATGGGTGCCAGTCGGCTTGGTTGGTGTTGAGTGCATGGGGGTTTCAGTCAGTTTTCGGGAATGAGAATTGAGGCACAATCCAGAAGATAGAAGCATTAGACTACACGAATGGTTTTTGAATATGAATTAATTTTGGTTTTCTTTCTCTTTGAATTTTGGGTTCTTTTGGATTTTGTGACTGGAATGCTGTTGTGGCCTGAGAGGGGTTTGAGAGTCTAAAGATTTATGCTCTTTGGACAAAGAGGGGCTCAATTCTCAAACCTTAGAATATCCTCAATTGAGAGATGATGCAGGGTGGGGTTGCCATTGGAGTAAGAAAAAAAAAGGTGCTGGTGGGAGAGAGAGAGAGAGAGAGAGAGAGAGGATCTTTGGTCGATGGGGAGGTTGCAGGGGTGTAGAGGTCGGGGATGTAAGGATGGTGTGGGGTTGCGCATATTTTATTTTTTGTTATTTTAATAAAAATAAATAAAATTAACAGAGTTGGCAAGAAAACGGGTAGGCACAGGGCATTTGATAACAGAAAAATTGGACCCCTACTGGAAAATATTGTAGAAGATTATTTGTTCTTGAACAAATTCCAACAGAGGGAATATTTTGTACACATGAAACAATTGGAATCGAACCTTTTCTTTCCTTAATTTTTCTTCTTTTCTATATGTCGACATCTGAATTCTAAAAAGCTTTTGCCCATGCGGGACTGTAACAACGTCATACATCAAAATAATTGCTTTTGATGACTTCAGGACACTTTAAAATTATGTGATGGAAAACTAAGCAAAGGGCGTGACAGATGACCCACAAACCAAGCATGCCTTTGGATGTCACCAATAACCAGCATGAACCATCAAGGCCCCAAAAATCTTTAAAAAAATGACACCAATATTTAAACATGTAACATTGCAAGTACTTCAACACGTAAGTGATTTCTAACAATTAATAAAGATTCTATTTAAGTTGTACTGAACTTTCACTTAATCATATTGCAAATAAAAACATACTATAACATAAATTCGAAGCACTTTAACTCTAAATTTTAAAGTTGTGTGGTGTCATTTTTAATATGGTGGCAAATATGCGTTTAGTTAAGTGTGTTAAAGCCGATGTGCTCCTTATTTTATTTATTTTTGGTCGAAATAATATTTTCCATCTTGAAACATCAAGGAAAATTAAGCATTCAGCTTTTGACAAGAAAGTAGTTATTTTTCAAGGGAATAATAGAAAAATCAAATTCAAGAATAGTGAGCTGTTGTTTAGTCAACAAGTTGGACTGGGAACTGTCTGATTAATCGTCATCAACGGCTACAAATACGCCGGGTGTTCCAAAACTCTGTACTAGTATCTTAAAACCCAATACTAATATGGCCAGCTCTGCCTCCATTTCAAGGCCCAGGTTCCGCTGCTTCGACCCGACTAACTCTTACCCTGCGACTCCAGATCACCCCCGCTACTTCTCCTCCGCCGTTTCTCCCAGCTCCAGCACCAGTTCCAGTTCCAGTTCTCCCAGAGAGAACGGCTTCAGGGACAAGATGGCAATTTCCAACAACTCCGAGCCCAAAATCGTCACCGGCGAGGGTGGCTACGTTCTCGAAGATGTTCCTCACTTGGTTGATTACATCCCTGACCTCCCTGTAAGTCTGCAACTCTTCTTCTCTCTCTTCTGCTTCAGAAAAACAGAGGAAATTGTGTTATCAGTGTGTAGTTATATATTTTGATTTTTGATCAAGTTACTGTAACTGCTAAAACACATGTGGTCTTCTTCTTCTTCTTCTTCCTTGGGCTTGTAATTTCTGCAAGTTCAGTGTTGCGGTGGGGGTTGCTTTTTGGCCATAGTAGGTGTCAGCCAAAACGAAGCTTTTTGAGATGACTGTCTGTGAAGTCAGTGCAAAAACCTGTGATCTTCTTTTGTTCTTTTCAGAATTGCGTTTTAACTTATGTTAATTTCTTGAGTTTTTGCCGCCTCAGCACACGGAATTGGTGTACTGGTTTTTTTTTTCTTTTTTTGGGGTAAAAATTATATATAAAATATATAAATGGTTATTATTAATATTTTAGTGGTCTAGAATCGGATGGAAAAGTAAAGAAATTTAATTATTATTATTAATCCCAAGTTCTATGAGGTTTTTAAAAATATTAAATTTGATAAGAAATGGGAATTGAATAATTTATTTGATCATATGCTAGGACAAAAGGAAAAACCTTTCATATGTTCTGTGCTTCTTAAAATTACTCCGATGAACGTTAGAGATTTATTTTATTTTTCATTTTAATAACAGTTTTCTTGTTTGCTGCTAGAGGAAAGGATATCTGTCTGACTGACAGTTTTACCTTCCTGATGATATCTTGCAGACATACCCCAATCCATTACAAAACAACCCTTCCTATTCAGTTGTTAAGTAAGTTTGGCTCTTTCAGTTCCTTGCTTCACAGAAAATGCATGTGATGTCACTCATTCAATTGTGATCTTGATAATTCACAAATTGATCTTGTGTTGGCCAGGCAGTATTTCGTTAATGCGGATGATACCGTTGCCCAAAAGGTGAGTAATATTCAGTGCTTGCTGTATTAATTGTGTATTTATTTTTCTAATATATATCTTATACAAATTACTAGTGATATGAAAATTGTAATATCTTACAATTTCAGGCTTCACAGTTGTATAAAAGCTTAGACACTAGGTTTGTGCATGTCTTCTAATTCCATAATGTTCTTCTTTGTGTAGATTGTTGTTCATAAGGATAGCCCAAGAGGGACACACTTTCGGCGCTCTGGACCACGTCAGAAGGTTTTACATTCCTAGTTTTTTCATATATTTATTGTTCTTGTATTTATGTATTCTAGTCAAATGACATGCCATTGAATATTTTTCAGGTATATTTCGAATCAGATGAAGTGCATGCATGTATTGTGACATGTGGTGGCCTATGTCCAGGCCTGAATACTGTTATTAGAGAACTAGTATGCGGGTTAAACCACATGTATCATGTCAAAAGAATTCTTGGAATAGAGGTAAGTAAAGGCATATTTGACATACATTCAAATACATTCTAAATCTTCATTATCATATTTCAAAATAGGAGAAAATAAAATGCTAAAGATGCATGAAAAATGGACTTTAGTAATGAATCATTTCTTTCCCTCACTTTTCATACTATTTGAGGTAAAAATAACATGCTATAATTTAATTGTGGCCTATCAGTTGATATAATTTTTTTAAATGAAAAATTAAAAAACTCAGTTCATTATAATCTTTTCTCATGCATGCTTGAACAATATCATGAACTAAGGAAGTAATTTTCTACATGTAGGGTGGATACAGAGGTTTTTATGCCAGAAATACAGTCCCCTTAACACCAAAGGTTGTGAATGACATCCACAAACGTGGTGGTACCATCCTTGGGACATCACGAGGGGGCCATGATACGTCTAAGATTGTGGACAGCATTCAGGACAGAGGAATCAATCAGGTTGGTATTGTCTGCATATGTTTCAGATTTCAGTTATGAGGACTTTGATTTATTCAACAACTTTTGTGCATATACTAACGTATGTTTATGCTTGCTAGGTTTATGTAATTGGAGGAGATGGAACTCAGAAAGGAGCTGCGGTGATTTTTGAGGTAATGCAGTTTGATGTGACACTACAAGCAGTGATCTCTAGTGCTTCCTGGGAAAAAGTAGTTTGGAAGATTTAACAATCTTGAGAGTATTGGGCAACAATATGGGATGTTAAAATAAGTGACTCGAGGACAATGTTTAGTTACTCACTTACCACTATTTAATGCAGGAAATCAGGAGGCGTGGCCTCAAAGTTGCAGTGGCAGGAATTCCAAAAACCATTGATAATGACATTCCGGTACTCCTAATTCCACGCATGACTGATCTGATGCATTTAATTTAACACTGGCATTCACTCTTCGAAACAGTCTTAATTTTGGATTCCATGCTTACTTTTATTCAGGTTATAGACAAGTCCTTTGGTTTTGACTCTGCTGTTGAGGAGGCTCAACGAGCCATAAATGCAGCTCATGTTGAAGCCGAAAGCGTTGAGAATGGTATTGGCGTTGTCAAGTTAATGGGCCGCTACAGTGGTAAGTATCAATCCTCTATATAATCTTAAAGTTACTTAGTTTTAGAGCATGTTGCAGAAGATAATCTGAAAATTGGCTCACAATGTGGTGTTATGCCACCGGATGTTATCTTATTTATCCATTTCACGTGTTATGGCTGTACCATCTGCATATCAACTAGATATGAGTATCATACAATTTAGTATGAATTAGTTTCAATTTCCGTTGTTATTGAATATGGGATCTGCTGCAATAATGGGAAATATTTCTGCATATACGCACAAATCGGTCGACAATATCAAAATCTGATTGAATCCACCCAGGTGGACTTACTAATAGGGTATCCATTGATGAGACTCGCGGTGTATGCTAAAACAGTTGCTGTTTGCTTCTCCTTCTATGGATGGTGAGGGGGGAGATTTTGTCTAACACACTACTCTTTGAGACTCTATATATTATCTGGATTTCTGATTCCTGTAAATCATTGTTAATTCATTTCTGCCCATTGCAATATTTGTCTCTTTCTATACTATTTTTTCAGTGATGTTGTCCTTGATCCTTTTCACTTGTATTATTTCAAGACCTCTCTATGCATCCCTGTCATTCCAAGATGTTAATAAGATTTGGTTTGGGTTTATCTCATAGTCATTTACACACCTAATACTTAGGTTGACTCTGATCAAATAAAAAATAAGAATTAGTAGCCTTGGAATAAGGTCTGTGTTTCTTTATTTACATCTATTCCTTTTTGTATCAGTCCAAATATATATATATATATATATATGTATCTATTCCTTTTTGGTTTGGGTGTTATTGTGGTTATTAACAACCGATTCAAAATTTTCTGCAAATTATGAATACAAAGAAAGCCACTTTGGTAACCTAGTGTTAAGCTAATGTTCATGGGTGCTTGATGTTATGTAGCCTCCAAATATTCACGTTGTCCAACCAACAAGTGAAGTTCTTATCTAGTGTTATGTAGTTCATATTGTCAGATATAATTTTGTCATGCAGGATTCATAGCAATGTATGCTACTCTTGCCAGCCGAGATGTGGATTGTTGCTTGATTCCAGAATCACCTTTTTATCTGGAAGGACCTGGTGGACTTTATGAATACATTGAAAAAAGGCTCAAAGAGGATGGCCACATAGTTATAGTAGTAGCTGAAGGTGCAGGAGAAGTTCTTCTTTCTGAAAGCCTGCTTAAAGATGAGCAGGATGCTTCAGGAAATAAGCTTCTCCAAGATGTTGGCCTGTGGTTATCGCAGAATATTAAGGTATAGATGCCAATGAAATTTCTATGACTGATGTTAGATAAGTTGTTCCCCACGCCTTGTTTGTGTAATTCTCTAGTTTCGTTAGTCTTTATATGTTGTAAGCATGTCGATTCTGAAACATAGTATCTACAATAACCCTATCACCCGTAAGAAAACACGGGGACTGGAGAAGATTGTGTCTAGCAGCCAAACACTTTTAAGCTCAAGCTATTGGTCATAAATATCTTTTCTCAAATCCTTAAATAATATCATAGAGAGACAAATAAAGTCAGTTCCCTAGAAGTCCTTTTTCTTAGTAAGCAATAGAGTAGTCCTAGTATCACCAGAAGATATTGCCTAGAGGATTTGCTGGCATCCTTGGTGACATTCCAAAATTTCAAGGTTTTACAGAACAGGCAAAAAGAAATATGGTCTGTTTTTTTAATTAAATTGGACATCATTTGTGGTATTTTATTGTTTTATTTTGTCCAGAGCATTTTGGAGTGACTTGATAAGAGGCATGCCACTTCTTACTATATGTATTGATTATGTTCTTGTAGGACCACTTCTCGAAACGGAGAAATATGAATATAACTCTCAAATACATAGGTTCGTTCTTCTGGAACAGTGCCTTTTTTTGGGGACTGAAATATTGTCTTTTTATTGTTTGATTCTGTGCATGTGTAGCCTTGTGGAACAAATTATATAACCCAACAATTCTTGTGCATGCCTGCAGATCCCACTTACATGATCCGTGCTATTCCAGGCAATGCATCTGATAATGTATATTGCACCCTTCTTGCTCACAGTGCCATTCATGGTGCGATGGCAGGATACACAGGCTTCACTGTTGGGCCTGTTAATGGAAGACATGCTTATATTCCATTCTGTGTAAGTTATATGTTATTCTTGGTTTAATTAGCTATCTCAATAAAAGAAAGGAGCATACGATTCAGAAGTGGGGATCTCTTTGCATGTATATAAACATGGTAAATTTTTTGCATGGCATTCTAGATTGGTGCTTCTTGTCTACATGATACATAAGTTCCGACCATCTCAGACAACAATGTGACTTATAGGGATAGATCTTGAGCATCTACCTTTCCCCTGAACAAACTAATGGACCATTAGGACAGGAAATATGATGCAAGTAGTACAAGAATATCTGTAGAAAATAGAATTCACATCATTTGGGGTATCCGGCTACTGCTGTATATTGTAATTCTTGTGTTTGAGTTGTTTGTATAAGTTGCTTATTTCTTGAATGTGTAGCGTGTGACCGAGAGGCAGAACAAGGTTGTGATTACTGACAGAATGTGGGCACGGTTATTATCATCAACCAATCAGCCAAGCTTCTTGGATCCTAAAGTGGTCGCCAAAAAGGTCGCCGAAACGAAGAAAGAGGATACAGAAGCTGAAGCCCAACTGATATAGAGGGGGAAAACCATATTGAAGCAACTGCAGCGTCTGACCCAAAGGACTGCAGCGTCTGACCCAAAGGAGTAGGAAAAAAGACCAACAAGCAGCTTATTTGGCAAAATCAAAGATCGTTGTGTTTGCTGTTCCCTTTTCAATTTCGCTCCATCTCTGCTTCCCAGTTTGATATGGTTTATTTTCTTACAAGAGCACCCAAACCCGGTGGTGTTTCAGGTTTCAGTGTTTATATGTTGATGTATGAAGTTGTGTGTGTTCATTGGTGAAAAGAATTAAATTTGAGTTTTCCCCGGCAATTATGAGTCGACGTTTTCCCCCAACCAAGGGTTTTTTAAGAGTTCAATTTAAACCTTATACTTCTCTTTGTTCAACTTGTATTCTAAGTTCTCAACTTCTGGTTCAAATTTTCACAATTTTTAAGAACTACTATTTTCCTGAACTACTCCTAAATACACACCCGTTATTAAAAAATAAAAATAAAAAACTCATCAATCTCACACTTTACACTCGACGCCTTGTTATTTTGCTCCTCACTGCTCGAAGTTCATACTAGCCACACATTACTAAAAGAGATAAAAAAAAAAACACTGTTGTCAAATGTGTTTGTGAAGAGAAGATGGTAGTGTAGGGTTTGTGATGAGAAGATGAGAGTAGTAGGTTTCTTGGATTGAAAGATGAGTAATTTAGCAATAAGAGTTTGCGTTTTTCTTAAACTTAATATGAAGAGTGGTTTAGTGTTTTTCTTGAACTTAATATGAAGAGTGGTGAGGTGTGTGTATAGATGTACTATGGTTAAGTATTAAATTGAATGATCTTTTTTGTTTTTTTACACAATAATAAAACTTAAGAGCTTAATAATGTAAGTATTGAGGTGAACAAAGAAAAGTGTGGAGTTTAAATAAAAAAAAACTCTTTTTTATTATTATTTCATAATAAATTATTAAATCCAAACCCTTTGGAGTCGAAACGAGTAAATATCAGTAAAACCCAAAAACTACACAAATTTGGTATTAGCTGCTTTTGCTTTCCAGGGAAAAAAAAAAAAATCTTTCCTGACAATTCTTCTATTTCATGTCAAGTGTACAACTACATTATAGAGCTCGTAAAAGAAAACAGCATAATATGGGATTTGATGCAATATAAGCAAGAAACAAGCAGAAAACAAGCACTCAACAAAATACTAGCAATAGAGTTGCCATAACAATTTTGCCTCACAATATGCAATGTTGTTTTTCTCACAGCAACTGGAGTTAAAGACCATAATAACTACATTCTCTTTGAGGCATCCAAAATGAGAAAGAAGATGCATCCGTCATGCCCTAAAGGACCGGGCGCACCGATTGCTATGACAAGCAACTCTAAGCACATCAACCTACAGCTTTTACATATTATGTACAAAATCAAAATGATTTGATCTGCATCAGCATCATTTGAACACATTGCTGATGACCTCTTTCAGATCCTTGCAGCCTATGATTTTGATATCCTCAAAGCCTGGAGTTCCTTGAGATGTCTTGGCTGAATTTGGTACAATACACTTTTTGTAACCCAGTTTTGCCAGTGTGTGTATCCTTTTATCCATTTGAGGAACCTAACATAATAAAATTAATTGCCATCAAATAAAATTGCCTGAAAGAAAATAAAGGAGAAAGGGGGTGGGGGTCAAATCTAGCAAATTATCTCCATATCTTATGTATTTGTGACTGTAGAAGAAACGCTGCACTATGTTGTCAGCTTGTAACTTCCTGGAAGACGAATTTAAAAGCAACATTGTGATATTCAATGTTGTTTGTTCAGAGGTGTAATATTTGATAGGTTGGTTGGGCCTGCTCCATTTCATGAAACATAATTACTTTATTACGATCCGAGTGAACAAGTTAAAAGGGTACATTCACAGTGAACAAGTTAAAACATCCGAGTTCGGATGGCAAGTAAGAAGACTAGGTCTTATTATCTCACATGCAACTCAAGGCTATAACAATAATAATCACACAAGATCTGAACCCCAACATATCCAAAATAGGAAGCTGATCTTCTCATAATTCAACCTAAAAACCAATATTACTATTCAGAACCCTGTGGTAAAATCTGTTGCATCTGAAATGCTGTTATATACTTCAATTTTAAGGAAATCTAAGAGCAATGGTGAAATAACATTGAAATGATATGCTTACCTGGCGAAGTTCACCACCAAGTCCAATTTCACCAATGAATGCAATACTATTGGGAATAGGGAACTCCAAGAAACTGAAGAGTACGGACAAGAAACGCATGTGGTAAATAAAATATTTAACTGAAGGGACATTGTAAAAAAAGTAGTAGGTGGTAAATGCAATACAAAGACAAAAGTTCTAAAGTTCTTTTCTGTTACTGATATAGCCACACATTATGCGTAATACAACACCAAAGCTGGAAAAGATATAACCATACTAAATGTCTAAAATAAAAAATGCACAGGGGAGGAAAACAAAAAGGTAAATGCCATCTAGTTATATAAACATGTTTGATTAGTAGAAAGGGTAATAGTATGCATGCCTGCTGCAAATTGCTGCTGCTATTGCAAGATCCCCAGCAGTGTCTTTCAGGAATACCCCACTAACAACATTTAAGAAGATGGCCTAACATGATAAAGCAACTTTCTTATTAAGAAGAAAACGATAATGGAACAGAAAACTGACCAACAATAAATAAGACAGTCGTATAAGTGATAATGAAAATAAAGAACTTATTTAATCGGTAAATTCAAAATTCAATGAATTCATAGATAGAAAGGAGTCTGGCATGTAGGCTTTTTTCCCTATGACTCAACTTAACAATCAAAAGATTTCTGTTTGCACAATATGAGAAAACTTCATTTACCATATTTAACACTATTCCTCAGTGTAAGTTTTTAGTATCACTTTCTTTGCTAATTACCGACATGGACATGGCCACAAGTGTCCACATGTTTCACTGTATTTTACACAAGCAAGGTGGCAATAATGATGTAAACTGGCCTCGTCTTTGACTAATAAATTTTAGCCATAATATCTCTAAATGATTTTTCAAATTCTCATGCCTTTCACAATGTTCTGAATCATTTCTTATTGTATAAATATTTCAAACCTGGAGAAAAACTTTAGATATTCTTAAATTCAATGATATAAAATCAACTTTATAAACCAAGAATTATCATAAGATTTTACTTACATTCTCCTGGAGCTTTAGACCAGCTTGCTTTGCAAGTACCTAAAACATATAAGAGATTAAATGACAACTCGCTTTTCATCAAACTTAGACTTAGTGCAAATGAAGTAGGATGACAAGGACATTATAGTTTTTCTTTGTTCTTTTTTATTTTAAGAGGAGACATTATGCTCTTTCGTAAACTCTAAATATAAGGAATCTGCAATGAGATCAGGATAAACCGTTCACCTTAAGCTCAAATTCAATCATAATACTGCCTTGACTAACATGAGCCATAGCACAGCAGTATCTTCATCTAAGGAATGGCATATAATCAATCGGGTGATGTAAATTGCTAATTTCTATTGCACCGTTGAAGTTTCTTGTGTATTGCTGTCTATGGCACAAATAATATAAATCGAAAATATACACAAACTTTAAAATTACTCACAGAAATAATCATGGAAGCTCTACTTGGTGGAACCCCATTAACTTGCCGGGCGCTTGGTGATTCGGATACACATAATGCCTACATAAAATTTATGAAAGTTGGTCAAATGTCAAATGATTTGTTTGAGAACGCAATTACAAGCAAGACAAAATGCAGAGGACATACAATACTAATATTCATTTAGTTGCTTAGTGCAATTCCAGGAAAATCCGAGATATGGGTCCAACCCAAAAATTATTTAGAACATAGTATATATCTAACCTATCTCACTGCCTCTAAGAAATACTGAGGAACCCTCCTGATTGAGCAGAGTAGTTGACTAAATTGGATATAATGATGGCAGTAGAAGAATGTCGAGAATTTGACATCTAACATCCGGCATTCTAAACCTTGCATCTTAATATAAGGATAGTAAGGCTTTCCACACAGTGCCAACTGATTTTAAATTGGATGGTCCAACTTTAACACAGCGCAGGCAATAAGTTCACGTGTTAGGCATCATCAGCTACACATGCTCCAAATGTGAGGCTCTCCATGTCTTTGCTCAATCCGGCCACACATGAGGAGCATGTTGAGAATATAAAATCCCAAACCATACGTCTTCTACCCCTTGAATCTCAGTTTAAGAACCATAGAGCATCTGTAACCATTTCCAATTGGTTAGATTAGATGATCTAACTTCAACAAAGAACAAGACATCTACTACTGTCCTCGGCCCCAAGGAATAAAAAGGAAATAGAAGTATTCTATCATAATTATCTTCAAGTTCATGCTAAATAATTTAATGACGGACGATAAATTTCACTGATTTAATCTGATCCATAAAGGACAAACAATTGCTTAATTAAAATGTTCAAAAATGACTCAAAAGGAAATAATAAGTATGAAACCAGTGAATAAGTAACCTGAATCTCAATGAGAAAAGTACGAGATCCATCCATTATTACAGCAACGGCTAAACCAGCTAAATACTCTGAATCTGAGTATTGCTCAGACAGAAACATCTCACTGGGGTTTGAAACAGCTTGCAGTCCTGATTGTGACATTTCAAATACTCCAAGCTGAGAGCAAAGGAAAAAGAATCCTTCAGTAACACGGATTAAGAGGCGATTACTATAAACATTTATATATGTAGAAGCCAAAAATTTATAATTACATAAGCTTGTCCAGTTGAAAATTAGTTTCATCCAAGTCACAAAGAAGATACAATAATATGCATCTTATCTAACCCTGGTTAAGCTCTTCGGCATTTATAGCCAAGGCGAAAAACTGCATGGATCAAGGTACAATGACTTGAACGGTAAAGGTATAGTTCCTTCTCTCAAAAGTCAAGAACTGAGCCCAAGAATGCCACACCTCATCCAGCTATAGATTAGATGGTTAAATAGAAGGAAAACAGAAGTCACCTCAAAGGAAGAGTTTTTACAAAAATAGAACAGCGCACAATTCCAAGACCCAACATGTTTGATCATTCTCCTCAGATCTCCTAGTCTTTTTTTTCTTTTTCTTTTTTTTTCTAACTTTAGCCAAATAGTTCGGATCAGCTTTGTTGAGCTGATCATAATAAGGAAAGTCGATATAAAAACTTTCAGCAGGTGATCACTATAAGGAAAATAAATATAAAAAGTTTCAGGTTTTAAAAAGAAAAAGAAAATCACACAAGCTTTAGCTCAGAAAATTCGAAAAACGGAGAAAAACAAAAAACAAGAAACATTACTAGGACAATAGATTAGATAAGTTGACAAGATAAAC